CCCCAAAACCCCAAAACCCCAAAACCCCAAAACCCCAAATACAATATGAAGAGTATGAATATTCAAAACAGATGTTTAGGATTCTGGATGAAGTTTAGACGATTCTAATAATACAGAGAAAATGATGCTCTATATTGTAAATCATTATGAAAACTTATTCAATGAATAAGCCGTACTAAGAGGGAGTTATAGCTTTGCTTGAGTGGCTTAATATTTTAGGCGGTAAAGTTAAAATTTTGCTCTTCTTGTATAAATTAAAAAATTTTGGTGACTCTGTTCAAAAGAAAACTTCGTAATGTTCAGGTAAAGTTTGGCAGATTAATTAGTGATCATATTCTTGTGATCAGATTAGTACAAATTTCATTAACAACAAAACTTTGTTAAACCAAACCGAATGTTTTAAAAATTCTTTTTGGCATAAATTTTTTATTAACATCTAAATTCTTGCAGGGGTGTAAAAATTTTACTTCCCTTTTGTTAAAAATTTATAGTTTCGATTTTGTACGTTTTCTTATGAAAGTGAATGGAATTATGAAGATTCATAAATTATACGAAGATGATGTTGAGCTTATGAAATTGCACTTTGCTTAGACTATCTTCTCAATCGATCATAGCTTTATGCCTGCAAGCTAGTAGCTCAACTAAAACAACAGCATGCTTGCCATGGGGACCAGATGCCTTTAAAAATATCTATTCCTAACACAGAAAATAAGTCATTATTTTACAGAATAGGTTTGAATATTTCATAATTTTCTAAAATTTCATGCACTCCAAAACTTTGTGCAGAGAAGTATGCTAGATAGGCCAAAATTAAAAACAGGTCAAGAATAGAAGTAGAGGGCTTAAAATAATGAATTGGTTACATTTATCCATGATAAAGCACCTTGGAGTGTTAAAGTTTATAGAGCCAGTATCTCCTCACACCAATCTAAACTTATTGGAAGCCATACTGTAGAAACCAAATGAAACCGAAAAGTAGAGATATATGTCAACGAATGTCAGTATCGATTCGTTGAATCTTAATGTTTAAGAAATTTTCATATATTCCAAGAACGTTCGAAATTGGAAATTAATAATGGAAGCAAGAGATAGACATGATGACTTCAAGCGTAAATTATTTATGATATAATATTTCAATTAGTTTATGGGCTACTGGGCGCTCTGAATATCCTTCATTGTGACTTGTTTGACATATTCTTCCCTTCTTTGACCTCCATCTCGCTTGCTTTCTCTTGTAATCTTATTGAAATCATGAGAAACATGAGAGTTTTCTCGAATGTTGATAACTTGATGAAGCAAGTTTTTGATATCATGCTGAAGATTGTGTTTACACGAAGACATCTCTGATTTAATTTTCCTAGTTCTCCGAAGGTCAAAAGCTTTATCGCTAATATCATATGGGGATAAGTCATGAGAATCATCTCTTCCAACACGGGCCGTTAACGTTTTAGAAAGCCTGTCGAAAGGGACTTCACTACGGAACGCTGAATTTGACATATTTTCTTCCAAATGAGATGACTTCTTTACACTAGAAACAAAAGCATGTTCATCCAGTAATTCTTCTGACAAGTTTTCTTCAAAATCTAGTTCTTTGTTCATCTTTACTAATTATTATGAATAGCATCAATGATATCTTCTTTATATGGGGTTTTGGGGTTTTGGGGTTTTGGGGTTTTGGGG